TTGTGTAGGAGCACTGCTGCACCTGAAGGCAAACCATCCCAACTAAGGGTAACATTGGGCTCTACCGAGGATGTTGAAAAAGTGTTACTTGCTTCTCAAGTCCTTTCTATAGGGAGGGCCTGTAACATACGTGTTAAGCCAGACAGGCTGTGGAAGGAAAGACAAATGGCGAGGGGGTCGCCAGAGCTTATTCCTTCTGCCTCCATGGTTGTTCATGGCATTCCCGAACTGGTAACTGGGAACGCCTGCGAAAAGCATTGTCATGATGTACAACAATGGAGATGGTTAGCATCCCAGATGGCCCTGGGAAGTTCAGGGGCTGTCTCTATTTATAGACTGCCTCGACCCACTCATCTTATGTCAATTAACTCGCCACGTCTGTTAGCTGTCAAGTTCAGCTCCCAAGACCAGTTGACTACCGCTCTCCATAGATGGTACGAGACCAAGGACAAGGTCAGCAAACACATTCGCTGCTGTGAGAGCCGGCCTCGCACTCAAAGGAGAGAACAAAGCGTAGTAAAAGAAAATCCTCAACCCCTAGTCACACTACAGCAGTGCAGCACGGACGATGATAGCCAGTGTCATCCGAGTGCTCCGACTGAACTAGAAGAAAAAAATGCCAACAGGCCGGTTCCTGGGGAATCGGCCAACTAGTTCGTAGGATAACTCCTCAACCGATAGCCAATATCAAGTCAACTACCTCCCAATACGAGGAAGTGGTGAGACTGACTACCAGTTGCCTGTACAGTAATGTGAGAGGGCTAAGAGGCAAAATAGCTGAACTTAGACACCTACAATCACAACTGAACTCCAAAATCATAATACTGACGGAAACCTGGCTAACCCCTACGGTGGCAGACAGCGAAGTCAGTATAAATGATATGGTCCTAGTCAGGCGAGATAGGGACCTGAAAGAAGGAGGTGGAGTCGCCATATACGTCGACAAACAGCTCAGATGTGTTCACGCGATGGACCCTCCCCTCACAGAGCTCCCTGACTCCATATGGTGCCACTTCACCGTTGGGTACTGCAAATATCTAGTGGGCAGCATTTATCGATCACCTTCATGTGGAGCAGACCACAACCAGGTACTGCTAAATACAATCTCAGCAATTCAAGACATGGGTTATGATCAAATTGTCATAGCTGGTGACTTCAATGCCCCATCTCTTAACTTGGTGTCGGGAAAAGCCCATGATAGATTTGATCGAAATCTGCTGCATACCATCAGGAAGGCTGGATTCACTGAAAATGTCAAGATGGATACTAGATGGGGCCCTGATGGGAAGTCTTCTAGACTGGATTACGTGCTCACTAGTGACCAGCTACTAGTGGAAAACGTTCAGATCACGACTCCCATAGGTAGTAGTGACCACGCGGTCATAGTATTCGACATAGTCCTCCGCGAGCGCTTACAGTGGGACAATACACAGCCCTATCTGTGTTATAACAAAGCCAACTACACCAAAATGCGAAGACTTCTGTCTGAAGCAAATTGGCCTAAAAATTGGACAGAGCTAACAGTAGAAGAACACTGGAGAGTGGTAAAGGAGATCATTCACCAGGCGGTCTCAGACACTGTTCCTTTAGTCACACCAAAAGCTAGGAAGCAACGATCATGGCTAAAATGGGGGACACAACGCCTTCTGCAGGCAAAGCGAAAAGCCTGGTTTGCGTGGCGACGATCGAAGAGTCAACCCGAACATGAAGTGTACCTTGAACTCAGGAATCGATGTAACATACGAGTCCGGAGCGATAGAAGGACATTTCAGGGAGACCTCGCCAATAAGCTTCTCGTGAACCCCAAAAGCCTATACAGGTTTATGTCCGAAAGAAAACCGACCAACCAGGGAGCATGCAATCTAGTGGGTTCTGATGGGAAATCTCTTACTAGTCTTGAAATGGCAGAGACATTCAGCCTAGCCTTTCACAGGCAACTAAACAGTAACGAGGATATTACCCCCACAGAACATCAAGACTACATCACAAAACCAACGCGCGAAAACCTTTTGGGTACATTTCTAATTACCCCGGCTATGGTACTTGTAAAATTGGGAAAGTTGGCTTCGGGAAAGTCTTCAGGTTTTGATGAGATCAGACCATCTGTCCTGAAGCAGTGTTCAGTAAGTCTCTGCCAACCCCTAAGTGATCTGTTTCAACACTCCCTTGATGTAAGGAAACTTCCATGTGAATGGAAACGAGCAATCCTATCCCCTATCTTCAAGGGCGTTGACCGGCACAATGCGACCAGTTACAGACCAGTCGCTCTACTTCCAGTGATATCGAAAATATTGGAAAGTCTCATTGACGACCACATGAGAAAATACTTCGATGGGACTAACCTTCTCCACGAAGCACAGCACGGTTTCAGGAGGGGAAGATCCTGCGTGACGAATCTTCTAGCTTGGAACGATTGGACACTATCCTGGGACGAAAAGGTACCAGCTCACGTGATCTTTCTCGACTTTGCGAAAGCATTCGACACAGTTCACCATGGTCTGCTCCTTCACAAAATAAGCAAGGCGGGTGTTTCTGGAGCACTTCTCGCATGGCTGAAAGATTACTTAGGTGAGAGAGAATTCTGCACCAAAGTCAACCGCATCCGATCATCTTGGCACACCTTGGCATCAGGGGTTCCTCAGGGTTCTATCCTAGGGCCGTTGATGTTTTTGATTTTTATCAACGACCCACCCTCCCAACTAAACTGCTCTGCGCTTCTTTACGCTGACCACGTAAAGATTTGGAGAGCAATAAACTCATCGGAAGACTCAGATAGATTGCAGGCTGACCTGCAAACTCTGGGACACTGGGCTCTGGCTAACGGATAGATACATAGATATTTTAAGTTCTTTAAACGTGTAGTTACAACAAACTACAATTATAAATTTTAATATTATTGGAACTAGATGATAAACATTTCTACACAGGACAGTAATATTAGTTCACACATAATATAAAAGTTAGCATAACGGGACTAGTTAGTTAGTGAACAAAAATAACCATAGTTACTAGACAGAATATATGTGCATATATTTATTAATCACTCCTTAAGGACTCCCGTTGCTTTCTTTTGCGTTGCTGTTGTTTGTCTTTTTTCTCTCACCATTTTAGCTTCCATTGGACTCTTTGAATGAGAATGAATTATGTGGATATTTGACCATTTACAATGACAAATGATCTGCAAACATTATTGGTCCCGTATCTTTCAGTTGCCTGGTTAATAACGAATTAACTTTCCCCACGACGCAACCTGGATTATATTTGTGGAATATACTCTTATACCAATGGAAAAGTATCCATTTGTAATACAACGTCACGATTGTAACTTATAACATAACTGATCGTATCTGTAAAAATAGCTTTCTTATTACCCAATTTGGTTATAAACCAAAAATGAGATTCGGATTTGTACACACCTAAGTTATATTATGGAATTACTTCAAGCTTTATTTTTTCCCAAGTATTTTTAATCCATCCAAAACTTACTTGGGTTTTTTTGTTAATGCGAAGTCAATATTCCTATATTTCATGTTGTGCTCCATTGAATGACTGGTTATCATATTGTTCCCACAAACCAAAGTCAGCAACCATGTAATTTAACTATAAACCAAACTTATGAAATTTAAATAATGCTTATCCATGCCTTTACATTTGATGTGTCCTACACAGGTAGGAAAAAATGTGTATTTTATTAAAACATTATTAATAAGTATGATTGCTAATCGTATATGTAATTTATCAGACTGATGATGCCTGTAAACTGGCGTCCCTCATGCACAACATGAGAATATACTATTATTATTATTAATGCCTCTCAACCTAAAGAAGTGCAAAGTAGTGCAGCTTAATGTCGGCAGGTCACATAGTGTAAATCACACCCTTGGTGGTCAGAACTTGAGTTGTGTTCCATCAGAGCGCGATCTAGGTCTTATTCTAACAGAAAAGCTAGACACCAGTGGAAATTACGCGAGGGACGTCTCCAAAGCCTACGCAACTTTACACTTTATGCATAAGCAGCTAGGAGCTTTTACTCCCTAACTGTTCTTAAGGTTATACAAGACATATGTGAGGCCACACCTTGAGGTGCATAATATCATTGCACCTCCGCTACTCAAAAGGGATGCTAACATTCTAGAAAGTGTCCAGAGACGAGCGACAAAATGGGTGATCGGCCTCCGCAACAAATCATACGAGGAACGACTGAAGAAATTAGGTCTTTTCACACTCAGTTACCGTAGGCACAGGGGAGACCTCATCACCGTCTACCAGAGCTTAAATGACCAGACCCACCCAAATAAAAGCATCCTGCCATTAAGTGTTTATAGGCTTCCACGAGGTAACCCGCTAAAGATAGCACACCAGAGACCAAAGACTCGAGTGCGATCACATTTCTTTTCGCTTCGTGTTTGCCGTCTCTGGAACGCTTTACCGGCGACCGTGACTACAGCGCCTTCTCCGGAGATTTTTAAGCAGAAGCTAGACAATCATGCAGAAATGCAAGGTTTGTGTCTCAATGGCTTATCCTCATAAAATTTGAAACCAAACTGTCAATGGATAAGCGTACAAACTAAATCCCCACGACCTGTTCTGCCTTCTCTCACTGTATCGACTACTCTATCTTTTCCTTAGGTCACCTTTATTATTTCACTTATCTCAACCCATATTATCTACACTACAACCTATTATTATTATTACTATTCTGCTTTTATGACTACACCGAATGACCATCGGGAGTTAGGTCAAACTCCATTCACGACAGCAACACAGTCCTAATATACTGCATACTACAAACCACATCTTGACCAATCTCCGCACCACTCCTCTTGGAGTGTACCAGAGCTAAAGCAGTCGAGTGGCGGGACTCACTACGCAGAAGCTCACCGAAAATCTGGAACCTCTACCTTACAATCAAGAAGCGAGCTCAAAGAAATCACTGGTTTATACTAACTCGTAATCAGGATATTAGAAACATATTGTATATTTAATTTTGCTAAGCAACAGCATGACCTTCCTTTAAAATGCACGCTACAGAATTTATCGAAGCTAAAATAAAGCAGAGGAGGGTTTTATTAATATCAAAACAAAGTTCGCCTGCATGCAAAAATATAGAGGGCCTGTTGAGAACGTATAATCTGAACAACGAAATTAATGACAACTATGAAATACTCTACATTGATTTACGCAAAGACTGTGGTGTCATTGAGACATATCTATGGCATAAGTTAATTTATCGCAATAGGCAGGTGATTAATTTTGATTTCGGCTTTATACATCATAATTGCGCTACATTTGATGAAGTAAACTTTATTAGAAGTATATATGTAAACTACAATTTATTTGAGTCTCCATGACTGTAATTCAGTGGCTGCGTCTCCAGTGAACGCTCAAATCATATATATATATATATATATATATATATATACGTGAGCATATCCAACCAAAATAACGAGTACATTCTGATAGACTTTTAGGGCAGTATTCAGATTCAGACTAGAAGGATAGAAGGCTCTTGTTGCCTTTGTCAATCCTTGTGATGTATATCTCTGCAAAGATGTTATTTCCCTTTGTAAGCGTTCACCGATGGAGCTGTTACTACTGAGTCAGGTAAGGAGTTCCAGTGGTTGACCACTCTGTGAGGATCCAAATTCCACACGTATTTTATTCGACCTCGATTTGAGCACCTTGTGGTGACCTCGTAATTGTATCCTAGAGAAAGAGAAAAACATTGAAAGGTCGATCCCTACATCACCTTTTAATACACAGTATACCGAAAATTAAGTCACCTCTCCTCCAGTATGATAATGGGAAGAAATTTAAATGCTTCAACCTCTTATCATAAGGAAGGTGTGACATATCACCAACTAATTTGGTTCCTACCCTCTGTACTCTTTCTATGATAATTATTTCTTTTTTTTCAAGCATAGACTCACCACTTGTATCCAGTATTCTAGATGAGGTCTGACATATGTTGCATAGAGTAATTGGAACATACTCTCGTCTAATCGTTTGAAAACCCTTTGAGGTGCCCAAAGCATTCGCTGCGGCTCCATTGCAATTCGCCGTTGTTTTTAAGCCATGGCTTAAAATAATTCCAAAGCCCTTTTGTCCCCTAACATCTCAGTTCTGTATCCTCTAGGGAGTACGAAGTGTATGACCACAGACCTAGGTGCATAACCGCGCTTTTCTTGGAATTAATTTCCAAACTCCAGAGGTTAGCCCATTCAACTAGTTTATCTAGATTGTTTTGTAGTATCAACCCGTTTTCACTATTATTCACAGTTTTCCATATCTTAATATAGTAGGTAAATAATAAGGAAGATGAGATAAGAATTCTCGGCAGTTTATTTACGTATAATAGGAATAGCAGGGGGCCAAGTACAGATTCCTGAGGTACTCAACTTAATACTGGTTTCCACCCTGACAGCACACCGCTAAACTACTAACATAGGCGTTGGTCTAATCCAAAAGTCTACTTCAAATAAGAGTGATAATAATAATAGAACTAAGCTCATACTGCTAGTGACCTTTTCCCTACCAAGCAGCATTTTATATTATTACAACAGAATCGGAACTAATAAAAGGTGATGAATGACAAGATTACTAAAATATACAGTTTTGCATAGCCAGGAAGGATAATCACTAGGAGGGTTTCGACAAGCACTACTAATTAGCAGAATAAAATATAAGATTAGGCAATCGGCAGTACACTTCCTAACGCCTTCCTTCCTACTTATCTTCCATGCTTAAGCAATAATGGGTTGTTTTCTAAGGACTTTAACTAGTAAAATTCTTGAGACCTTCATACGAATAACTATCGGCATTTCCTATTTATGCCGGAGAAAAAGAGCCTTAAGTTCTCATATCTATTCCAGATATCTCACGCGCCTCTGTTTCTTCTATAAGTATCAGGAACGTAACTTTGGGAAGCCCTATCATTTTAAACAGTTCCCATAGCAGTATAATAAACGAATCTACACTTTAAGGATGGCACATTGCTGTCAGCTTCAATAGAAACTGTGTTCATAAGTTGACTCAGAAAACTCGTAAGTACAAAGATTTTTTGACAAGTAATCTGATCTGTCCTATGATTCTTAGTATGAATAACGTTAACCGAAATGCTCTCACCCTCCACGGGTCTATAGCCTGTTATGGCAAAGACAAGTTACGCAAAACTAACCTCTATCCCTCTATTTTACGAAATACAGAATTTAACATGCATCAATGATCACACTCATGATCTGAAAATTGGTGACAAACAATTGCATTTTTTAAGTAAATAACCTATGTGAAGTCCCACGAGGAAGTCCTCCATTTGTTTGCCAACAGTATTTGATCTCAGAATAACACGAGGATGGAAATGAAGCACTATCCTACAATCTCTGCTGGTTAGTCGTCATAGCATCTACATGTGTGAATCATGATAATGTTCAGTGTTGGGGACGCTACAAAGTACATATTAATCACCGACCCACTTACGATTAGCATGCAACCTCTATCATATTATTAAGCCTCTAGATAGTTACATTTTCGAGCTAACATATGAATAACTAATACAGTTACCGCTTCACTCTTATTTCTCATGAGCTGATTACCGTAGCATAAGATTTCCTTTTACCCATCGATGGACCTAAGTCATGAAAATCCCTCCTAATACCTATTATCTTAGCTGGGCTCGTGTATCTTATTATTTTGTTAGAGTGCTAACAGCGTACATGTGCACTTATTCAGATGAAAACCATTCACGTCCACAAAAACAAGGCAGTGAAATACAAGTATGTTCTTGCTTTAACTTGTCAAAATTCCATTCATCCGTACATAAGAATTTCCAAAAATTACAGTCATCACCTTTCAGAAACACATATTTCATTGGACTTCGCAACACTTGCAAGTATTTAGATTGAATAAAGCTGAACAAATGCTCAGAATGACAAGGATTCAACAACTGTCGTTTACAATCGAAATAATAACACTACATTACTCAGTTTATAAATTGTATCCTACTTTTTCAGGTACCTCATTTGTTTTTGGATGGCAAACACATAGGAGGAGAAGCAGAAATAAAACGTTTACATGAAAGCGGCGAACTAAAAAGAATATTTAAGGAGGCCGGTTTATAAAGACTAGAGCCAAAGAGAGAAGGTATTTGATGACTGTGGTGACAAAAAAGAAGCGAACAGTGCAACAAAAGAACGTGTTGTGTTTAGATCTTTTATACTATGAATAATCTTTTCAGTTACATAATAACTACATTGTATTATTGGTATATATATATATATATATATATATATATATATATATATGTAAAGAAAATGTAAATAAATTTATGGAGAAAAATTTTATTAGTTTACACTCTAAAATGTACAATCATAGTATTTTACAATTATCCTCTCCTTGGAGGAACACCACGTGCCGCCGAAGCTCTCCCTGTAACACATCCTCTTGTAGAGGGCAAACTTGGGCGTCTGGTAGTTCTCGGCATCGAAGTGATGGGACCCCATTTTTTCCGACGAGTTGGGCTTATAGTAGATGTATTATCCGGCACAGTGGATTGAGAGGTGGATGGATCGAATGAATCCCAAACAATAGGTTGAATTTTAGGTCGATTTGTTCCGGAATCAGCAGTGTTTGTAGTTTCTGAAAAATAAAATATAAGGAGATAATGATACGAGCATTAGTCAGGAATTTCAGCAATATACAGTTGTCAATCGACAATTCTATTCACTAACATTCGATTATGTTGCTTTTTCTCATGCGTACATACTGTAATATTTTTCAGAACCTGTCCACTGTTGCTTCGTGTGCTACTCAGTGTGAAATCTTGAACTGATGCACGAAGGATCCAGTTTCGAGGTTGGCTTACTTGTCACACATAAGATACACTAATTATTTTCTATTAGATAATGTGAGGATGCACATAGTTATCGAATCCTAATTTATATGACAAGAATAGTAGGACAGCGGTTCGTTAGAATTATGCGTGTTCTAATCACCTTTGAAATGTAAATTCTTTTGAAACATACTTAAAGACTGAACTCGATTTCGACAGTGAGTCAAACAAATAAGATGCGATCCCTTACAATTCAATAAGGTAATCTACTTTGAAAGAAGTATGCTTTCTCTCAAACAAAACCAATTATTAAGACAGAATAGAAAAAAACCAAACAAATTTTACATTTAACGGCTTATGGCTTGACGGAATTTTGTGAAACTGTATGCTTTAAAAAAAATAACTGACACAAAATGGGAACAACGCCAATGTGAAGGAAAACAAAATCTGCTAATATATCGAGCTGGAAACACTATGTCAGTGAAAATAAACTCCAGAAATAAAAATTATTATCTTGTAATGACAATACATAGAATATGCTAGTTCATAAGATGAACTCAACGCGTTTTAAATTGCAGAACATAATCAAGCTAGAATTAATATCAATTTACAAACACTGAAAAAGACTGTATAGTGAAATTAATTCATCAACGTAGAACAAAGCAACCAAGTGATTACCTATAAGTGAATGACCTCAAAAAAGAATACAGAAAGAGAATAGCTACTTCGGAAATTCGTTACCTTTAGGAGACGCCATCGTTGAAGTGTATGCGGAAGGTTTGAAAAGTAAGACTGAAGTAGTTGAACTGGAAACTGTATTAACAGGTAAAAACGATTTAAAAAGTCCCGCACAACCACTCGATAACTGTCCGGATTCCGTAGTCACAACAGTAGAAGAAACTGTGAAAGATGAAGGTTTGAATCCTGAAAAAAGACCAGATGACCCTAACACTGAGCTGGAGGAACATCCAGAGAAACTAGAGGCACCAAAAATACTTGGAATAGAAGATCCTCCAAACAAACCCTTGGTTGACGTTGTTGTTTGTATGTCTGAGTCCGATGTAGTCGACACCCCTTGAGAATTTGGAGCGCTAACTGATAAAGATTGATCATTTTTTTCTGCATAACTGTCTTCATAATGTGACTGTCCATCATCTTCATTCAGTCTTTGGTTTTCTGCACCGTCAATTTCATGGACTTCAGCATTTTGCATGGATGACGACTGTCTATCTGTTTCTTCATCTCCATAGTCCTCCTCCTCATTATTATACTGTTCATCGTCAACATCCTGTGGTTGAGAGTCATCAGAGCCACCTGGAAAAAAGTTAAATATAGTAAAAAAGGTATTTTATGGATTTTTTGATTAAGATTATTATATTTAATTTGCTTTTACGTATGCAGTCAGATTTTATTTTCCTTCACGTTCCCACTGGAACATAGGGCTTCAAGCTAGTGGCTTGAAGTTTCTGTAGCAGTGTTTAATTTTGCAGGATGGGGTTGCTAGCCTCATCCCTAACCTTTCCTCCTTACCAGCATTATTTTTGGTTTAGTGAGGTAAAGGAGTGCATCGGCTGGGGATCGAACCCCGGACCATGTGGATGGTCGGCGAGCGTCCTAACCACTGTGCCACCGACGCACCATGCAATCGGATACAAATTATTAATCCATAAAATTTGGAGAGGACATAAAAGACAATTGTCAAATACACCAAATAGTTTATCTGTTGCACAGGAAACAAAAAAACTTCCAAGTGAAACAAACTTCTTATTAATTCTTGACCGAGAAAGCAGGTTATGCCAAAATTATGTTTCCTTGAGTATACAGAAAAAACTGTGAAAAATGCAGGAGATTATGTCAGTAAAATTTTTCGGGAAAAAGTTACAGTGTACATGATATTCGATGAATAAATCAGTAGGGATGTTTAAGGGAGTATGTGAATTCTATAATTCACTTTAAAGTATTCGATTAATGGAAATAACACTCTAAAAATGGTTATCATTAGCAAAAAAATAAACTCACTGCTAAGTTCAATTACTTCTTCCTCTTCTTCTTCGTCTTCCTCCTCGTCATCTTCTGAGTATGAGTCAGCAGCATCAGCTTCAACCTCTCTTTCATAGTCATTGGAGCCTTCTTCCACATAATCTTCATGTTCAACTTCTACTTCTTCTTGTACAGGACTTTCATTGTAAATCGTATCACTTGCGCGCAAGTCTGAATTCTCTACAGTGAAATTTGATGGTGCTGGGAGAGAATTGAATTCAATATTATTATTGTTGTCAATTTGTGAATCTTTAGAAGTATTTTCAACATAATCATCAGCGGATGCAGATCCGTGTGCCTCAGCGTCATCAAAAGCATCATTCTCCGAATAGGATTCATCTTCACCATCAGAAGATTCACACTCTTCTTCATGAGCAGCAGGATTTGTTGGTATGTTCGAATTGTATTCTGTAGTTGGGACTGCTGACTCAACGAGTTCTATATTTTCAGATACACCCTGTAAAATAAAAAAAAATTACGAAATGAAAAACAACTAATATTGTTGCGGTGGAAAAAAGGACCAAGACCAAGTATTGCATTGCAGTGCGAAAAGCCTACAGGAACAACAATTACCTATGACCGAATGACACAAACTAGGGAAAGTTTGGAAACCATTTATGTATATTGCAAAAGTATTTAAAATGATCACAGCGTTAACAAGGTGGAAATAATTTTTTTCCAAACGCTTTGCTGTATAAGCCACAGCTTATTCAACCGAATGTACTTCAATCTCCGGAATCTTCACTGCAATAATACCTTAGTTCAGTACAGAATTTCATCATACAATAAAAATCTTTTTAATATAAATAACTAAAGAGTATTTCAAACTTGCTTCAGCATATTCTGTTTCTGGAATCCTAGCTTGATCACTTTCATTTCCCGCCGAGTCTCCAACAGTAACTTCAGCCTGATCTGTCTCTATATCGACTTCACTTGACGATTGTACATTTTCCGAGACTTCACTTGTTCCAGGAGTAATGATGCCAGCTACCCCGGTAGCTACTGTGAGTGTGCCCCATGTAGAACCTGGAACAATCAGTAATATACAATTTTTAAGTTCAATTCAGGTTATATATATATATATTTACTGTTATTACAATGTTTTTAAGGAGATAGCAAAATTAAAGTAGGATGCATGGTATCGAAAGAAATTACTTTTAAATTACTTTTTTAAATATATACTACTACCATCTATACAGAAAGAATCAGTTAAGACGGTTTTTATATTTTTCGTTGTACGCCTAAGAAGAGCAGTTTTATTATAAATGGAAGTCAATAGAGTAGTAGTTTAGAAAATCCAAAAATTAAATGGTTACAGAGAAAGTTATATCGCTAGTAGATTAGACTTTAAGGAAACTTGGAAACCACTAGGAAAAATAAAGGCAAACATGATATATTGTTCATAAATCATGATGTACACTGAAAAAGCCTTAGACTCATCATCCTACTTGACATAAAACCCTTAGGTTCATTATTTTTATTTTGATGGTACCATCGGATGTGAGTGATCCTTATGGTAAGACATAGATGTTTACAAAGTTATGTTAACCAGTACTTTTATAATAAGGTTGAATAGAGATAGCTGTAGTGTATCACTAAACGATATCATCTCCAGTTATCATCTCAGATACATATGCAACAAATCCTCACAAATTCAGGCCACATTGGTGAAGGAACTAAAAAGTACTATTTTCATAGCGGGGACTATCCGCCATAAGTATTGGAACTTAACCCAAAGGATGGCATTCACAAATTGTGAACTGTGTAACATTATCGGCTCTTGGAACACCCATTAGCAACTTATTTATGTTCTGCAGTTATTGTTTACATTGGTGGAGGGATAATTATTATCGACAACACTGATGTGGTTACTGAAATGAAAACTACTTTTTACTAATGGGTATTCTAAACAGTTTTAAACTTTCACAAAAGTGCGACGCATAACCTGGCAGTAGGTCAAACTATAGAAATTTCCTGCCCCCAAAAGACTTTGAATACAATATGAGTAGCCTCGATGATTTTGGTGAACACTGATACAAACATAAACAGAGGGAATTCAACAGTGTACCCTAAATATTCGATATATCGATTAGGGCAGAAATATACCCTTAAATTTATTACTAATCTTAAACGTGGTCGTAAACCTTATTTTATCATTCAGTCTAGAATCTTTCGAAATCACGTAAAAGTGCGTACCATAGGCGGAATTTTGGTACAGGAAAGACATGGATTAACTGTTTCAAGGTCGAATGACTACTGTTCAAATACAACAAAACATTCAGTTTTGCACTGCTTAGTGAAACATGCACACGGAATCTGAATGATATTTGTGACTTATTAAAACAGCAACAATCAAGTATTAATTCAAGAGAAGTGTGATAAAAACCATATTCATACTGTTTAGTGCACATAACCAA